CTGCCTGACCAAATAGATCCCAGATCATGCGTACTATGTCACTGTGAAGAGACCACTCTCCTAGTGAGAGAGAGAGTCTGCGATCTGGTTGTACTGTCCTGGCAAATACACTGTGTGCAGGGTGGACAGATGAGAATAGACCCATCCCAGAAGATTCCTGGACACCTTCAGAAGCTGCACTGACCTGGTGTCACCTTGGTGATTGATGTGATAGACCACAGGTCCAGTGAACTTCATTGGATAACCAACTGGCTCCTCTGGACGTGGAGGAGCAGCGGCTCTACTCTGAGTCCCTCCTGGATGACTGAGCTTCTCAGCCTATCTCTAAGGGAGAGCCCAGACACCCTGCAGAGGAAACTCCTTTCAGCTGCTTGGATCTGTGATCTCCTTCTTTCAGTCACTACCCAAAGCTCCTGACCATAGATGAGGGTAGGAACGTAGACCCACTGGTAAACCGAGAGCTTCACCTTCTGGCTCAGCTCTCTCTTCACCACAACAGACCGGTACAACACCCACATCACTGCAGACGCAGCACCAATCCACCTGTTGATCTCCTGCTCCATTCTTCCCTCATTCGTGAACAAGACCTGAGATACTTAAATGCCTCCACTTGGGGCAGGACCTCCTCCCCGACCCGGAGAAGGCACACTACCCTTTTCTGGCTCAAGATCATGGTCTAGGATTTGAAGACTTAATTTAATTATAATGATCAATATTTATCAATTCGTTTTTATGACACAACTAATATTAACCTTTATTTAGTTAAAATAGTTTGGACCTGCATCAGCACTGATCGGCACTTTTAACATAAACACTACATTTTACTGTGGTTAGAAGAACATGTGCTGATGAGTCCAGTCAGCTGATATTTGGTGTATTGAGCATTAGTAACTGTAAAAAGTCAGTACTTTATGCTACAAAGCCAAGTAAACTCATTGACAATTGTATAAAAACATTCAATCTTGTTCTTTTTTTTCACATTTAATGAAGAATGTAGGTCCTTTGTCTCAGTCACTGAAGAGTCTGGTTAAAGGTATTATGGTCCCTTTGAAGAGGAACCAACAGTCTTGTGCTTATGGGGTTGGGAGCACAGAACTTGTGGGGGTTTTGGAACAGGAATGTGGCAATTCTTATCTATTAACAATAAAGCGTCAGGTTGTCTGGTGGGGGTTGGTGTAAGAGATGTTAATTCGAGCCACAAAGGAAGTTTCCATGCAAGTCTTTAGAAAAAGTCTGAAGTTAAAGTGGAAGTTTTGTTCCTTTCTCTGAGCAGTCATAGGAACAAGTGAAATCTAATCAGAAATGATTATTTATATGCAGGAAAATGCTACAACTTGATCTGTTCAGGTTCCCAACATTTCATCTAGCTAATGAAAAGTGTTTTTTTGTATGAATGGCTGAGTCGATTCTCCAGTTTTAGGAACTCCTGGTGTAGAAATACACCACAGCAGTCCTTACAAACAAATAAATGAACTGGACCAAATGTAATAACTTCAGACACAGCAGCCAAATAAAACATCAAACAACTAAAAGCACTCGGAGAGTGCAAACCTCCACCAAGACCATTTCCTCCATCCTGTAAGAGTTAATGCACAAAAGCAGAGATGAAACACATTTACTGAATAAGTTCTGACGTAGTGAACATTTAAGCAGCAGTATGATGGGATTTCTTCTCTGTGGAGTCCAATGTGAAAAACAAAAGTCAGACTGGTGGTGACGTTATTCCTGGTCAAACTGGTGTGGGATTAAGCTCCTAAGTTTCCATCAGTCACATTTCACCATGTAAAACGTCTGTTTTATCTCCTTGTATGAGTTTGTAATGGTTTGACTCTCTTTATAAAGTGCTTCCTGGCTCCCCCCGTCTCCAAACTTTGAGGCCCGGCAGCTCTCTGTTTACAAGCCTAGTAGAGACAAACTGTTTTCATTGGTTGTTTCAGAAATGTGGTGTCTGGTGGGGCCTGGACTGCGGGCGGACGTGGTGCTTGGGGG